GGGTGATTAACTCGCCGTTTGTCTTTCCTGGAGAGTTCTAGGTGGATGCGGGAACACCGGCGGGGGCGGCGGCAGCCGGGTCAGCGCGCGCCTCTCAGGGCAGCGTGGACCAAGCCGGCTTTGTGCTGAGCCCCCGACCTCCCGGGCAGGCGGCAGCTATTGTTCCCGTGGGCGACCGGGACGCTGAGACTGGCAACCACACCAGCCTCCTGCTTACAGTGACCCTAGGTCCCGGGGCTGAGTCGGGGCTTCCTTTGTGTTCTCTGCCAGCCACGGGATGGCGTCGGCGCTGGCTGGTCTAAGGGATGGCAGACTGGAGAGAGGGACACTGGGACCAACTCCCTAGAGCTCTCCTCGTGTGACCCACTTTCCCCGCGAGGCCCTGAGAAGAAGTAGGGAGGGCTAGGGTATTTGTAGGCCAAGGAAGTGAACAATAGAGCCATCAAAAGACCTTCGAGTCCCCTGTTTTAAAGAAAGGTCCCTGCTCGCAGGCCCTCCCGGCCTGGTTTAAGCCTCCGCTTCCCCAGGCCCATCAAATTGTCTGTACCAAAGCTCTTCGTGAATCCTGATTCATATGGGGATCTCCTCTTCCTCTGGTCCTCTCTAATGCTAAACCGCACTTTGGTAAATAATCCAGACCTTAACTGAAAAATGAGCCAGATTAGCCAAAGGAGCCAGTCAAGGCACTCTGCCACCGGCTGTGGGTGTAGCTCAGTGGTAGGGGGCATATTTGCCATCCACCATATTTACTGTTGGTTCGAGTCCCAGGTTGTTTTTAAAAGTCATTATCACAAGATGTAGAACAAGAAGACACAGGCAATGGCCCCCACCCCACAGACTGGAGTGGATAGGGTGGCATGGTGGCATTCATCTCTCTCTACTACAGCAAAAGACTGGGTACCTTTGTGCCTTGGGCTTCGGCCCTTGGGGGAAGTCTGTTCAGTTTGCTTCACACTGGGCCTGACCTAAAATGGATTGTCTTTGAACTTTGCGACTTGACAGGGAGGAAGTGAGACCTGAGGGAAATGTTTAAGAACCGGCTTCAGGTCAGGTTTATAAATCCATTTGACACCAACCTTGGACCCCAAAGGTAAGAACATTTGTAGTGGAGTAGAAAACAAGGTAACAAGTGACGGGCCCCTCCAGCCACCACCCCCCTCAGTCTTTCCCGACCCACCCAGGTCTTCTGAGAGAGAAACCGAGAAGAGCCAGCCCTCCAAAGTGTGGGTTAGGAAAGGCCTGGCTGGGGACGACTCAGTCTCAGCTCCCAGGGTGCCCCAAGGTCTGTTGGCCCAGGTTCTAAATATACCATCTGGGAAGTAGCAGTGCCCATGAGTGATGAGACCAAAGCCAGGGGTGGGGGGGGAGGAGTACCCGCCTCTTCCTCTCCTGCACACTCACAAACTTCTGTTGTTACTTTCTTTAAGTTTCTGAAAGAAGGACCAAGGTTTGACCAAGAACTCCCAGATGAAGAAGACCTGTAAACTGGGATTACCCAATGGTTGACTTCAGAAGGAGGTTTCAACCAATTCAACTGGTAAAGCCAAAACAGACCTGGGACAGTCCCTTGAATACTGAAGGTGGAAACAAACTTGTGCCTCGCCCACCCGGAGGGGGGTGGCAAATAAGTGGAGCATTTATTCTTAGAAGGAAGAGTTAAGTTCTTTGTTATTCAAACATACGCCTACTCAGGGCATCCTCTTTACCCTCCCTAATGAAAATCCTTAGCAGATGGAGAGCCTGGACTTTCAGGCCTGCTGGCTGAGGAGAGCATTTCACTCCCGGGGCCATTGGTGTGGTGCAGGGGAAGGATAGCTAGCTAGTGTAGGTAATCACTATCGCTTAATACTTCTTAGAGATAGAAATTCGGAAAAAAAAAAACAGTCTTGTTCAGCAAGGTTAGCAGCCTCTGGGGCCTCGGAAACCAATTCTGCTGATGTGTCTCTGATCAGGAGTTGCACCAAGGGGAAGCACTAGCTGGCTCTGTGTGCTGGTCCTGGCTCCCATTTGAAAGCCTGCACAAAGAAACGGTACCAATGGATGGTCAACTTAATGATTCCACCAGAGGCGGATTTTTCTCGGTCAGGTCCCTGCATGAAGTTGTGTTCTGAAAGCCAAAAGGCAGAATATGTACTTGATCACCCTTAGTTCCTTAGCAGAGGAGCCAGCGGCCAGGGCTGCTCTCCAGGGCTTTCCTGGGCCTTCCCTTCCCCTGGCTAGCTCCACACCAGAATGGATCCTGAGGTTTCCCAGGTTGCTAGGAAAACCTCCCTGCTTCCTCCACCTCACCTCCATTTTGCAGCAGGGCCACACATACCCTCTGCCTGACGGTCCATCCTGCTTTAATCCACATTGGATTGTCTGGACAGTATAACCAGGGACGCCCAAATGACTACCATCTAGGAGCCAGGCTCTAAAGTTTTCAAATCTAACGGAGATCCACAATCTTCCTGACGCCCGCTGCCCCCGACCCCCTCAAAAAAGCTATGGAGAAAAAAGGTAGACCTCCCAAGACCAACACCCTTCCCTTCTGGTATAGCCCCTTGTTGTGGCTAAAGCCTTCTCTGCAGAGGACCAGAAAGGAAGCCGCTGGTCAGCACAATGGACTCCTGGGCTTCGGGTAGACCTGACTGCTTCTGGGCATCCTCAACCGGGGTTTGGGGAGGGGGCGGGTTGACGGACGGTGCTCCTCTGCCCCACAGCGTGCGTCGTGGGAGAAAGACACGCTAGGGTGGTGATTCCCTTCCTTTGTCAACTTTGCGCATCGTGTCCTGCCAGGGGCCTTGAAGCTAGAGCCGAGGCCTGAGACCCGGGCGCCATCGCTGGCCAGGCTCCCCTCCCCCACTTTTCTTTCTTTGCTTCTCGGAGACCAGGGAGGGAGGAGGCGGCAGGCGCCTCGGCGGATAGAGCTGCTATTGTGACCTTCCCAGGCTGAGCGGGAACCCAGCGGAGTGTGGACTGCCCGCGGTGGCGTGGCGGGGGAGGAGGTGACTGCGTGCAAACCTCGGGTGCAGAGGGGGTGGCACCGGGAAATAAATAAAGGCTTGCAACCTCGGGCAGTTGGGCCCTTCAGAGGGCGTTTGGTTGTGTTTAGACTTGGGTGCTTCCTAACACTAATTGCAGGCTCAAGAGGAGCGGAATTTATGGCGAAGGCCAAGGCGGCTTGTTTATAATTTATGAAGTTTTAAATGGTTGTGCCGCGGGCCCAGCTCTCTCGGGCTGGCGGCCGCGTGGGAGTGCGCCCTCCCAGAACTCGCCGCCGCCGCCGCCGCCGCCCCCACCCACGCTAGCAGCGAGTGTGCCCGTCACGTGATTCCCGCCAGTGGCAAGAAAGAACCAAGCAATTCTCTGATGTCTCTAGAACTTCAGAAGGTGGGGAGAAGGCCGCAGATTTGGTCGAAGCGACCCCCTCCCCCTCTCTCCCAACATCCTTACTCCACAGCTGGGCCTGGGAGGCTGCGGCTGCCTAGAGAGGGAGCCCCCAACCTGACACTTCTTAGAGCCTATGTGTGAGAGGAAGCTGATGTCAGCCGGGCTAGACGCTGTTTAAAGTCTAATCCATGAAACCCTAAGCCACAGATGACACTTGGGGTTTTGCAGACACCCGCAGACTCAGCAGATCCTCCTGCGGTAACACACCGCGCTGGGAACCGCCTGGAGCCATGATGCATTATGTATTTTTATTATTATTTATGGTAGGAAGATGAGATGAGAGAAACCGGGCTGAATCTAAACAGCTTGACAATTCATCTATTTAATATTTAGCCAGTTAAGAAAGGTGGCTGTGATTTCCTACAAGGCAGCTAGCTCTTCTTTGATTTCCTTAAGAGCTTAAAAAATAATTTCTTACAATTACGGATTCTGCCTATGAATGCAGGTTTCATAGAAAACAATGCTAAGCCTTGAGAGTGGGTAAAATATGCCTTCAATTGAAGTCATTTATTCTGTTGATACAATTCTACAACATATATACTTTAAACTTGCTCAGATAGAGTGAAATTTAGCAAAGGATATCCCCTCCCGCCCCCAGCCTAACATGCCATTTTAAAAACAGCACAAAGGAACAAGGAAACTAAATATTTTGAGCCATCATTACTGAGCGAAACACAAACACCCAAATAGAAAACGATTGTTGTTCCACCAGAAGAGAAGAAGCTATTTCCACACACAATGGGAATCCCACCTCATGTCACCAGGCTGGCCGTGGGAGTTGCATGTTTGCCAAACCAAATAGAGGTGCGTGGGCGGACTTTGCTGAAATACAAAATAATTGAACCTTGTCTGAAGACTTCTTTCCAAGTGCCCCCTTCTGTAGAAGTGGGTGGAAGTGCCCGACCCGAGCTAGAGCCACGCTAATATTTACAAAACGATTATAAATGTTGTAGACTTTTTGCCCGTTTTGCACAAAGAAACAGAAGTAAACAAGGTGTTTATACGTGTTGTGTTCCATTAATGAAACTTTTATTATTTTACACCTATGGAGAACATTTGTTTTCTTTTGAAATGAGCTACTGACCATGACAAAGGAAAAAATCGTGAGTACTTCCTAGAGATAAAAGCCTGGGTGCTTGTCTCTGCGTGATCATTTCTTTTTATCCGCCTGCACCTTAGCTTTTCATAGCTTAATCCTTCCTGTTTCTCTTACGCTTTTTCTTTGATTGTCAGGTTTTTTTCCCCCAAAGTTTAATTTTTATTATTTAATGCAGAAAAAAAAAGAGCTCTGTCTCCCCCGCCCCCTCCATGGACCGATCTTGTCTAGAAAGAGGTGTTGCTTTGGCGAAGTCTCATTGCCGTCACCCCATCTAGAATATTTTGAGGTTTGCGTCCTCTGATTACTGCCGACCTATTTCAATTCCTCCACGACAATTTGTGCAATAGGTTCCGAATAAATAAAATATTTTTCAGAGGGTCCTTTTTTTGTGGGGGGAGGGTTTCTTACAGAGGGATCAAGGCAGAGTTGTCTGCCTGCAAATGTGTGTGATTAACACAGATACACTTCCAACTGAGAAAATTTTTTTATTCTAATTGTTTGTTCAAATAGTACCAGACAATTTGAAATCAATAAGCTGTGTCGAGTTGTGAGGGCTTCGGCTGTTGAGAAACGGCTACCGTGAGCCGTGCCATGCCACCGGGCTGCCTGACTCTACCCATGAAGGACCATTTATGATCTCAATCCTTTACATCAACTACAAACACCAGCCACGGTTACAACTGCTCAAAACTACTCTCTCAACTAGTTCAGACCAAGGGGACTAAAGAGGTGAAATGTGGCCCCCAAGGCCTGGGAGCGCGTACCTAGGCCCGTCCGGAGAATTCTACAAATATACACATAAATACATTAAGACGAGGATAAATAATCAGGGAAACGAAATTACTCGCTTCAAATAATAAATACAGATTGTTTAGTCCAATGCAATCTTTACAGGAGGAGAAGGAGCATATAAATTAAGGTCTCTGAAACTAAGCTAGACGGAGGGGCCAGGCCCGGGATTCTCCAGGCCCTAGTCCCTCTTCAGGACACGCCAAGGATGGGTCTCGGACTTACCTTAGGGACACCATTACCAGATTAGAGTCCCTCGGTCCGCAGTATATGGCACTGTCAGGTTTACAGGGGAGGATCCTTGCGGCTGATTTATGGCGAGTCACCCAAAGGAGGACGCGCCTGGAGGGGAGGCCCAGTCGTATCAGCCTCGGCCGCTGGAAGCCCGAGACTCATGAGGCAGCGGCCAGACCAGATCGGGGAGGGGGGGTCCCCCGAGCTGCCCCTCGGGCCCCGCCCCGCCACCACCCCTGCCACCAAAACCAGAGAGGTAATTGCGCCGAGCTACCAGGCCGGCGGCAACCGCTACAGATGTGTCAGTTTGGGGGCCTCGGGCAGGCGTCCCTGAGACGAGTGGTGAGCCGAGAGATCTGTGTAGGTGGGGTGAGGGTCGCACGGTCCGTGGTGGTGGTTGCCAGGGATTTGCGCGGCGCAGCTGTAGTCCACGCTGGCCGAAGACGGGTGCGAGAGGTGGCCCAGATTGAAGACCGGCCCGGATGCGGGCGCCATGGAGTCGACGAAGTTGCCACCCACGTACACGGGGCTGCCCTGCAAGTTGGCGCTGCCGAAGCCGCCGCCGTTGCTCGCCATCGGGTGGGGCTCGAACTCGGGAGCCGCGTAGCGCTTCTGCTGCGGCAGGCAGCTGCTGAGCGGCGCCGTGTAGGCGGCCAGGCCGTACATGTTGGGCTGCGATTTGGCGAAAGCGGGTGGCGAGGGTGCGTCGTAGGCGAGGCCGGGCACGGGCGGCAGCTGGCCGGAGTAGGCCACGTGGCCCGCCGCTCCTCCAAGAGGTGGGCTGCGCTCTGGGGACTGGCCGGCCGGTGAGTGCAGGATGCCCTTGGCCTTCTGGTCCTTCTTGTACTTCATGCGGCGGTTCTGGAACCAGATCTTGATCTGGCGCTCGGTGAGGTTCAGCAGGTTGGCCATCTCCACGCGGCGCGGCCGGCACAGGTAGCGGTTGAAGTGGAATTCCTTCTCCAGCTCCACCAGCTGAGCACTGGTGTACGCTGTGCGCACCCGCTTGGATGCTGGGCCTGGGGGGCTCTTGTCCTCGCAGTTCTCTCCTGGGCAGGGAGGGAGACAGAGAGGGTGCTGAGCGACGCGGGTAAGAAGCCTCAGAATGGAGAGGAGGGCTTTCCTGCCTCCATCTGCCTCCCCTGCTCTCACCTCCAATCCCGCTCAGAGTCGGGTAGGGGATTCTGAGAGGCCCAAGTCTGAGGAAGCGCTCACTCTGCACCCCCCTAGGCCTACCTGTCAGTCACACCTGTAACTCCTGCCTTACTCTGCCTTCTTTCCTCTCCACCCTAGCCCATCATCTCATCTCAACCCACAGGCCACGAAGGACCTTACTGGGAAGCTAAGAGCCCCTCGTGGAGAAGCCAGACTTCTTTGAACACCCCTCTCTCTCAACCTCTGCTGCTGGGGACTGGGGGCTGCGGGGGGGGCGCGGTGTCCGAGGCAGCTCCAGCCTGCCTCGTTTGTTTCCAAGTCAAACACTCCAAAGAGCAAAGAAGTGGGTAGGGGTCTTGGCACCTCACTCCAGGCAGGTGCACCCAAAGGCGGGGAGGTGGTAATACACGCCCCCCCCCATACTGCCCTGGAGTTTTAGGGGATCCCAAGGCCAGGCTGAAAGCATGTTGCCTATGGCAGTGCTGAGATGCCAGCACTGGCTTCACCTCCGCTGCCACCCCTCAGCTGCCTGTCCACTCCTTCACTGGGAAGACAAATGGATTTCTCCTGGGAGGGAGGGCCTGTGTCTGAGCTAAGGAGGGAGGGGCAGAGGAAGGAGCTTTCTGGCAGGAAGACACTTTCCCCCTAGGAGCCACAGCCCAGGGAGCATCAGGCAGAGCAGAGACCTGATAACAAATCATACCCCAAGCTTCAGACTAGCCCTGGACCTGCAAAATAAACACCATCAAGAACACAAAGCCAGAAATTTTCAAGAAGCATCAGTCTGAGCCGAGAGGAGGAGACATCAGTCCTTAGAATGGACCAAGAGATGTCCATTCCTCTAGAGTCTCCCTTGCCGGGGTATGAAAGGGACAGCTAGCTGCTCTTGTTCCAAATTATTCTCTCCCCCTGGAACATGCTCTTCCCTGTTACAGGTTCACTGGAGTGGGCTGAGCTTCACAGTTATGCCTGAAGTCATACCCCTTAGCTCCAAGTCCACCACTCTGCAGTTCTGTGGAGCTGGGAAAAATAAGGGTGTTGGCACATATCTATTTTAAAGAGTTCTCTGGAAAATTAAATAAAATAAATGGATACTGTTTATAACTTTTTTGGCCATGGCTCTTTTCCTTCTGTTTTGGGTATTGTTTGTCTTGACTTGGTTTTCTGTTTTGAGATAAGATCTCTTTAATGGTGTCCAGGAACTCACTATGTTTCCCAAGCTCTCCTTGAAATCGAGATACTCCTGCCTCAGCCTCAAGTGTACAGAACCACACCCTGCCTGCCTTCACTTTGGAAGGGCTGGTGGGTAGAAAAGGAGGCTTCCCGTGCCTGGGAAGGCAGATAATATGTCAGCCTAAGAACTTTCTATTAATAAGCATGGGACAGTCCACAAGGGCACCAGCAATGAAATCATGCCCTATCTCTGCAAGAGTGTGTATCCAAACAGAGTCACTAGAAAGGACAGATGTCTCTATACAAGTGGGAGTTTGGATATATTGTTGCTGAGGTTGCTCTTACAGCCCTGAGTCTCTTGGCTCCCAGGTAATTGGTCCTTGGGGCTGATCTGAAGGGATGCGGGCCCAGGGATGACCTGCCCAGAGAGCTAGCTACCTGAAGTGGCACAGCTGTTCTTCTGCTTCGAATTCTGCCGGGATTCTTTCATCCAGGGGAAGATCTGCTTGCTGATGGTGGCTGAGGAGCCAGACGCATTAGGCCCCCCCTTGGTCTTCTTGACAGGCCCTCCACCTCCGGGATTGGTGGGCGAGGATGGGGGCAAGGTGGGTGGTGGAGGAGGAGGTTGTGGTGGCTGCTGCTCTGAGTTCAGACCTGGAGGTTGGCTGCCACCACCCCCGCCCTGGCTGTTCCCAGTGCCAGGTCGCATGCAGCTACCATTGAGTTCGGCTCCTTTATGGACTGGGGCTCTGAGGGGTGCCGCGCTCTGGATGGAGCAGGCAGAACCTGGGTAGTCACTGTCCAGGGAGTTGGCAGCGGCAGGGGGTGGGTAAGGCTGGTGAGGAGTGCTGTAGCCATAAGCGTCGGTGGCTTTGCTGTAACCATAGCCTCCAAAGAGTCCTGGGTTCTCATAGTACGCAGCCTTCTGCATGGTGCACTCAGGAAGCTCCAGGGCCTGCTGAGCCCGCTCAAATAACATTGACTACCACTGTCTCCTTCACCACCGAGGCCAGGGGCTGCTGAATCTCCAGAGAGCTGGGCCAGCTCCCCGGCTCCAGGTGACCTGCCAAGAGAAAAAGGGAGAGATCCTAGAGGGACTGTCACTGGCAAGACCAATCAATATAGAAGGACCAGAGGAAGCTCTCAGCTTCCCACTCGCTTCAAAGTGGAAGGATGGGCAAGGTCCTGGTCTGGGGGGTAGGGGGCTTTATGAAGCTCAGTTCATTGGAACTCTTAGAAAAGTTGAAGTATTTCTTCTAAACATAAGAAGAGATCTTTCCTCCTGAGTTCCACTTTAGCCTCTTCCACCCCAAGAGCCTCTTGGAGAATTGCCTTTCTCCAGGATTGTCAATACAGCTTTTGAGCCTGCATGGGAAAACACTTATGATTCTCCCCCTAAACTAGGAACTCCTTAGAGGAAGGGGTTGTGTTTTCTTCATCGACATATCACTGGCGTTCAGCGCAATGCCCTGCATGTAAAAGTGCAATAAATGGATATTGAACAGATGGATGAATGAATGGATGAACAGGTCACAACCAGTCTGGGTGATCCTGGGGTTTGGTTTTGCTTAGTGATAGAGATCAACCCCAGGGCTTTGTACATGCTATGTGAGGACTCTTACCCTAGTCTCAGTGTTTGGATGGACAAAAGAAAAGCTCTGTTACACACCCAGAGCTTCCCTCTAAAAGTATCTTTCCCACCTAGTTTCAGAATCACACCATCATTTTTGAAGACCCAGACAGTCCACTTTGATGACAGGGTGAGGATCCACACAGTTAGTTTTGTGGGTCAGCACTATGAAATCCACAGTGTGGAAAACTAGCAAGTAAAAACAAAAAGGAAGACTTAAAGACTCCCAGACTTACTTTGAAGCTAAGAAAGTTTCTTTCATCTACATTTTCCCACACCCCTTACTTTATCTTTCAGCTACTTTTAGAAGGGTGTTCCTGAAAATGAATGAAAGAATTTAGACCTTAAAATGAATATAGTGTAAGTGAATGGTGAATGCTCTTATAACTTGATCATTTTCCTCTGGATCTTTACATAAATAGATATTATTATTGACCTCTGCTCTGGACCTTCCATTCTGCCCCACCTCCTACCCAACCTACAACCAATGAGACAAGTTCTCATGACATGATGAATGGACCCAGAATTAGAAGGATTGGGGGGGGGCTAAGAAAATTCTTCCCCTTTTGTATTCCCTGACTCTTCATGGGGGGGTGCTCTTCCCACCCCTTCTGAAAAGCTCTTGAGGAGTTAAAGTATAACTAATATCATTCAATCACTTTTGTCTGTTTGATAAAGAAAACTCACAGGTCAGCTCTCTGGCCTTAGTTCTTGAGCTCATCTTTCAGGCAAAGTTTCTTTCCAAAAATTCTTCCTGGCTTCCACCATCATGAGAGACCACATCACGCAACTTATGGCCAATCAGATTGAAACACAGGAACCAAAACACTTCTGCATTAATTTCCCCCTGTATTTCCACCAGAAAGCCCAACCAATTAAGAAAACTCTCCGAGTTAGCCTTTGCTTGGTAGTGTGGTTGCTCATTTTGTTTTAGAATACAAGTGAATATGCCATCTATCTTGATGAGAGATGGGTCTTTCTCAATGGGCTGCAGTAATACTGAAACGTTTTGTTGTGGGCATTGTTTCTACTAGTACCCACAAATGCGTGCAGTTAAGAGATCCACCTCACAAAGCTAGACTAATTCTTTTGATTAGTTTTCAATACCAATCTCTGATTACTAAAATTACCAAGTAGCAAGTGGACATTACATCCTGATTCTGTGACTAATATTTATATATGTTTGCCCCAGGCCAGAGGACCTGCCACAATGGTTTGACTAAGTTTTGGGGCTTTCCAAAGATGCTGCTCGATTCTAGGTGTCTAAATGGCCGCATCAAGCTTCTGAGACCACCAGAATTTGCTACCACTTTGTCATCCCATTAACCACTGTGGAAGCAAAACATCCCCCTTCCGCCTCCATGTTGACCCAGTTTGTCTTGGGAGGTGGACCAGTCACATTAAAATACCTTCTTAAGGAACTGAGCAAGCCTATGGGACAGATGGCGTTACACATTATGTTTACTCCTGTGGCATGCTCCTAGAAAAATCTCTATATAGAGACCTCAAAGATACAGATAGCCCTCACAACCAGAGTCATCTCTTGCCTGTTTACATTGTCTTAAAGAATTTTCAGGCCCACTCCATGGTCTAACATCTAACATGGTAGCAAAGGTAGTAATTAGGTGCTGTTCTCGTTGGGGAGAAAAAAAAACAACTTTGCAGCACCCACCCTACAGAGCCCTAAAGAAGCCCCACTTCCAAAGCTCAACCTGAAAATACTGTTACAAAACTGATTTTTTTAAAAAAAAGTTTATTTCTTTCCAGAAATCACTACTCCTTGTGAACTCTGCTTGAACCTAAAAAACGGGACTGGGTCATAAATCATTTGGACAATGGTCAACTGTTCAGTGGCTCATCTTTTCGATCACCACCACCCCCCCTTTAAGGCTTTTTTTTTTCTCACCCTTCGATACCTTTGCTCAAATGAGCACCAAGATCCAAATGCCTTGGGGGGGTGGGGAGGCATAGCTTTGGGGGAGGGGCAGTTGAGCAGACTTCTTATTTTGGAGTTGTCCTCAGTTTTCCTCTCCTCTTCCTAACCCCTCCCCCTCTTCCTTTTCCTTCTTTCTCCATCCACCCCCACCCTCACCCCAGCCAGAGGAATGGGACTATGCAGCCACCCATTCCTCTGGAGCACCCCTGCTCCTCTTAGGGAAGGGTGGCCTAACTGGACTGGCTAGTCCTTTTCCAGAGTCCCTGGAAGTTACCCAGCTCAGCTTGGAGGCCTAACCACAAGCTCAGAAGACAAGGCCAAATGGTTTCCAGCCCGAAGGAAGGCTAGGCACCTTCTCAGAGTTAGCATCGCTCGCTCGCTCTCCAGCTCTCCAGCCGTGCTGGCCCGCCAAGCCGGCCTCGCCTCGGAAGCAACGGAGCCCTGATACTTGCTCACTGCACTTAATTCTGCCCAGATCAATACCTAATATGATACCGAATAAATAAAAGGCGCTCACAGCGGCCAGGGGACAGGGTTATTAAGCAGCTGGAGCTCTCACGGTGCATATCAATGCACCTGTCATTGTGGTTTGTAACAAAATTTATGACTGCGACCACGGCAGCAGTAAACGCTTCAGTAAGGAATGAAAAGAAAAACACTTCCCAAGGCCCGGCACTTTTCAGAAGTGGAAAGCAGGCTCCGCGTAGGAGGCAGAGCAGCCAAAGAATCCCCTACTCCGCACTTTTCCCGTCCACACACCCTGCGTGCGGTGCGAGCTGCGGGATTATATAAAGTGGCCGGCGCCGGCCGGGGCCAGCAGCTGTGCTCGGCCGCCCGAGTTGGAAAGAGGATCGCAAGCCCGGCCGAGGACCACAGACCTGCTGCCCGCCTGGCCTCAGACGCGGGGAGGCTCGATGGACGCGCAGAGACCTGCTAGGCGTTTGCTCGCCCGCCATGGCCGCGGGAAGGCCCAGGGAGAGGGACGCTTGGGCTGGGAGGGAGGCACCGGGCCGTGCCTAGCGCTGCGTTGTAAATAACGGACCTCTGCCGTCAGTCGGTGCCAGTTGAGAGAATAGTGGGAGGCTATGGAGCGCTGCTGGTGTCAGCCTCTCTTAAAATTCTCAGAGGCTTAAGTTAATCTAACCTCCACCCCTTCCTTTGCCTAAGCCGGGTCTTCCAATAAACCACGGGTCTCATCCTGGAGGCCACGACTCTTACTGGGCATTCTTGTTAATTCAGTGGGACCTAGCGATGATACGCCTTTCCCTGATGGCTTTGCAGCTTCAGGTTTGGGGAAACCACTTCTCAGCGCGTTTGCTGGGAAGAGAATTGACTATTTGCCTACCTTCTCCCGACCTCTCTGCCTGAGCCTCTTCTGCCCTTGGGGAAGCCCAGGACGCCCATTTTAAATCACTCCTGTTTAGCCCGGATAACTCAGTACTGTAACATACCCTGCATTTAAGACAGCGGACGCACTCTATTAAAGCGCCATAAATTTGAAGGCCGATGATCGGTTCTCATGTAACAGGCGGCAGCTCACACTGAGGTGATCCACTTCAAAGCCGCCCTTTGTTTTATGTCTTGATGTATGAATCCTGGGGTGGCTACTTTGAGTTGAAGGGGTGGGGGGGGATATGGAAATGCACACCCCACCCCCACTCACCACAATTTTGTATGTGTTTATTTTCCTGAATTTTGTTTCTAACTCTTTTTGTAGGCTCTTCAGTTTTCCTTGATATTCTGTGGAAGCAGATCTGGAACAAAATGGGAATCTCAGTAGCAGCCGGTTCTGCCTTGCAAACACACCAGGAGAGCCGTTAGCCTTTTTCAGGGTGTCATAATCAATGTGACTATTGTCTGTGGTGCCTGCAGCCATTCCAGACGCTTTGGCCCCAGCAGAATGAAGACTCAGTTGGCTCCAGGGGAGCTAGAGGGCAAAATCCTTGGCTGGATGGGGGAGGGGAGAGAACCTGTTCGTGAGGAAAGGACCCGGGGGTGAGCCGAGTGGGTCAGCCCGCGCAGGGAAAGCCGTGGATGAAGGTGGGAGGAAGGCTACAGGTTAGGAGAGCGGGAAAGGAGGGTAGCTACTTAGGTGCTCCCGGTGGATGGCTGCTGCTGGAGCTGCCCCAAGGGCCCGAGTGAACCCGGAGCTAGACGCTAGCTATATCCTGGGTTGCACATTGTATCTCTGGCTCAGCTAGCTTTCCTGGGTGTGTTAGAAAAATACCCAAACCATTCTGGGCCTGGGTTGCTCAAGTCTGGATCGAGGCTAGGCTATAAACCTCCTAAGAAACCAACAGCCCTCCCTACCTCCACCTCAAAACTACGACCAAGCCGCTGAGCACTGCGGCTGTTCAGCAGGCGCTGGCCCCTGGTCAGGTGAAGGGAGAGGGACGCAGTCTGTCTCTTGATCTGCCCCGTGCAATTTGTCGACTCAGTAGTTTGCAAACACTAAACTGCGCCCGGGAAAACCCCACACAAAGCGTTCAGGGCGCTTCTAAAGACTAGAGAGCGTAGCCATAAGCCTTTGAAGTGACCTTTGGCTCACGCTGCAATAACTCACCCCTTAATGAACACCCAACGGAAGCGCCTCAGAGAGATCCCAGCCCGGTAGGACTTCTAACTTTGCGTCCTGGCTTCAGCTTCCCAGACGACCTGGGTCCAAGGGGGCACGTCATTTGCCTGCTCACTACACCCCAACCCTCTTGGCAGGGGGCCCCCAAGAGTGGCGCAGTAGAGATGTTATCAGGATGCTCAAACCCGTGGCCGAAGACCTCAAACCACTTTATATTATACAATCGCGTGGGCAGACATCAACCTGTGCCGCCGCTTGATTATCTTATTTATTTTTGAAAAGGGCTTCTTTAGAAGTAGGATCATTCCCTGAGAAGAAGAGTCTCCCACTCTCAACGCATCTAGTTAAATTGTGTTTTCCAGGCGCTGAGGAGCCGGGTAAGTTCGTGCCTGGGCTTTCTAGGGTGAGTGGTGCGCTCTGAGCGCTGGGCACAGTGGGCTTGGGAAGTAGAAAGGGAACCCCGGTTCCAAGTTGGTTAGTTGGGTCACAATCAAAACACGCTTTCCCCCAGAACTTTCTCTGAGTTCCTTCCCCTCCACACCTTCAAGCTAGGCAGCACTGGCCTATTTTCTGCCTTCTGGGTGCCCCAAATCGTGATCTGCACCCGGCTGGCTCCGTCCTCTCTGAGTTCTACTACTCCTTTCCCAGCCAGAAACTTCAGAAGCAGAAGGGTCCTGCCTGCCAGCTGACGGGGAAGAGCTGGCTCCAGACAACCCGACCCCCACACCCCACCCACCAGCAGCACCCAGGGAAAACTCTTCAGGATGGGGCCAGAGTGGAGCCTTGGTGGGGATTATTGAAAATTTCGGGGAAGTTATAAGTGAGTGCTCCATGGGGCCAAATGAAATGCTGCTCGCAGTAATTGGATTCAGCTGACTAAGCTGGCAGGCTCGCAGCTCCAAGGCAGTGAGCAAAGAAAAATGTCCACCGACTTCAAATTTTGATGGAGCCCAGTGCAGTTGATTGACAAAACAACTTTTTCTGCTCCCTTTGATGGCAAAGACCTTGGAACTCAGTCCTTCACCCACTGGGGCCTGTCCCAAGTTAAATTTCGGGAGCATACCTCGATTTGGGGTTCCTTCCCTGTGGTAGTCCAGTGTGATCTGGCCCACTCCCGCTCATGAAGCCACTCAGCCTTGCCTTGGTTGGGGGTAAAGACCTGGGATTGTTTGTCCTCTACACTTCTAGCCTGAAGCCACTGAGAACAAATCAACAAAAGGATATGTGGAATGCAGGAACCAATATGGTTTAGCTTTCACCACTTAGGGTTAGTTGGGCAGAAGGACCCAGAAACACTAAACCTGTTCTTCATCATTGTAACAGTCAAAGCCTAGGCTGATGAGAGACTGGAGAAGCCTCTCAAACTCTTCAGGGTACTTTGGGGGGGTCTTTTTTAATCTGGGGGACATTTTAACTCCTATGGGGGAAAAAACAGGAAGCCGACAGCAAGAGGTAAAGGCTCAGTGTGTGGAGGTGGCTACCAAACAATGAAAGAGCTGGCTGGCCACACAGTTTATTTTAAATACGTATAAATCAACCCTCCTGCACCCCGGCCCAGCAGCCCAAGACACGGAATTAATATGATGTTCCATCTTACTTTGGCAGTGACAGTGTAAAAAAAAAAAAAGAAGTTTCTTTTTATTCATTCCATTTTCAGCCCATTCTCATAACTACACATTTACCCTCAAAATACCAACTCTAGCCCCTAGTCCGCTCAAGAAACCCACTCCTTAAACTGCTACACCCCCTCCCCAATGCTGCCGGCCACCCTCCAAGCCTGGTAAGGTGGTGTCCTCTTAACCTTTTGGTAGGCGGGGAATGTCCCCATAAAAGCGCACCTCGTTACGATTAATCACCGTCCTCCGATGTATATGTAGAAGCGCGTCTAGGGCTGCGGGCTGCCTCACCAATTGGCAATAATCAAGATCACAGATTACACAAAATAAATCATATTTAGTATCCCGCTCAGGGCAGCAAGCAGCCCTGTGCCCAAAGATTTCCATTTTGTCATGCAATTGCTTACCTGGATCCCAATTTATCATAAACCTGGTGTCCTCGGTCTCAGAGTGGGCGCCAGTGGGGGGGCAGAGCTAGCCTTCCCCCTTTGTCTGCAGACGACAGTGTCCCAACCCTGGTCTTGCGCGCTTGCAGACTCGGCCATATACCCGAGCACACGGAATTCCCGGTAGAACGGAACCAGGCTGAGGTTCAACTACCAATAAACGCTGGAGGAACGAGTTTGTAGTCCCCAAGCTGGCTTCGCTTGCGCTGCTCGCTGGTCGGTCCACCCGCCCGCCGGTCCGCTCCCAGGCCCAGAGCGGCGGCCACTGGCTCCCCCACCCACTCCTGGGTTCCTGCCCAGCCCTCCCAGGCCCCCCAGAGCTCTGGGTTTGTTTTGCTTTCGGAACGTGGTCCTTTCTGAATTTGGAGAGAGCCCCGGAAACCCCCTCATAGTCGGGAAATACAGACGCTGCCTTCAAATGCGAGCATATTTGTTCACGTGACCCCGAGGGAAGATTGTACTGATTGAGGCTGAAACTTTCACGCCATCCAGCCCAAGAGCGCAGCCAGGCCTGGGGGCTGGGAGGAGGGGCGCAGGAAGCTTGGGACCCAGGCGCCATCCCCGGGGCAGGACACTGGTGGGTGAGAGAAGGAAAGCCTCCATCCTCGCAGCTTGGGATTAGCGCGGCCACAGCCTGCAGTAGTATGAGGACCTGAGACTCTCTCTGGGCAAAGACCTCTGACCCTGGCCCGGCCTTCTGCCAGACCTACCAGTGGCTTGGACGTTTTGGGGGTTCCCTCTTAAAAGCCTTTGTGGAAAGGGCTATGAAACAGAAGTCTGGAGCTTCCCTAGCTTCCGGCGGCGTCCTGGACTCCATATCTGCATGCACCTAGACAAGCTGCCCAGGCTGATGCCTTACTTTCCCCATTCCCCGGCCAGGCACTTAAGTTGCATGGCAGGACCCGTTCCTGCCTTAAGGTGGGACCCGCTGGTTCTCAACTCTGGTCTGTCACCCTGTTACTCCTTGGGGGCGCTGGCAGGCAAGCTGCCCCTTCTGAACCAGAAAAAAAAATCGCCTAGCAGCAGGGCAGGCCCCGGCATGACCTCCTTTCTTGGCGCCCTGAGCACTCCACGCAAGTCTTTCGGGGCCTGGAGCCACCTAGGCGAGGAATCCTTGCCCACCTTGACCTGTGTGATTCCAGATCGGCTCAGAGCCTACCGGATCCCGCAGGCCCAGCAACAGCCATGCCGCTGCAGCTTCCCGCTTCCTGCAGTAACTCCGAGAGGGCGAGGGGGCCTACTGAACCGGGCTTACCTGGGGATAAGGAGATTTCTACTTTAGAATTACCGTATCAGAACACGACGTCACCACTCAGGAAGTGGCTAGATGAGATTCGCTGTAGATATTCTGCATGTGGGAAGAAGAGTTAAGCGAATCTCGGCCAAGGCTCTCTCCTGGGTTGTAGCAAGCTCAGGCCGCCCTCATCCTAGCACCCCATACCTGGGAAATTCTGTATCTGGCTTTCTCGGTTTCTTAGCGGCTTTGCCATGGAGCTGATGTCCCGCCATGACTTGTATGGCCTCTTAACAAAGTGTCCCAAAGCTATAAATGAGCACTGGGGAAAAAAATAAAAGGCTCTGAAACCTCAATCTAGAGGACCCGGCAGGTCCCAAAGAAAGGGTCACTGGAACCTTCTCCCAAACTTAACAGGGAGTCCCTCCTTCTGTTCACCTGTCCTGGCCAGGGCTCAGGCCCACTTGGGGTGCCTGTCACAGTGGACCTTAGACTGCCCCCACCCCACCCCCATTCTGAGGACCCCGCCCCCAAGCCTCCGCTGCAAGTGTTAATCCCCAGCCAGAGAGGGGGGCTGCTTTGCGGGAATTTGTCTCCAGGAAAGGATCTAAGCCTTCTTCAATCGGAGCATATGTTCATAGAGCAATAAACCGGAAAGATTTACAGTCCTCGCCCGGCCCCCAACAGCCTCACACCCTTTCAGGAATTACTTACGATGATTTATCACACCAACCCGGGCAATTGTCACACTGATAAAATAGCCCGGGCCTGTGCCCGCCAAGCCGGGCCTTGGGAGGCTGTTGGCGGCCTGGCCTCTAGTGAGGCTGGGAAGCCTTTTTGTGGGTTTCTTTCTGAGCCTACAAGGGGATGTCTGAGTGGATTGAAGTGGGTGGGGTGAGAGGGGAGCCGATCCTCATTGAGAAAAATGCAAGCAGAGAAAGCACCCGGAATCTGCGTGCAGGAGTCACTTGCTAAGCACATAAACATTTATCATCTTTGAATAATTGAATTAATGTGTTATTGTTTGAATGTATAATTCATAACGGGGGGGAAACTTTGTTGCTGTCCTGACGGAGAAATATACACACACCAAAAATTAAAAAAACAAAACAAAACATACACACAACCCTAAACAACCCTCACACACAGCCGGCCCTCCGAAATTCTCCTCAAAGTCAATGGAGACGCAGATGTTGAGGGGGGTGCACGAAGGGACTGTCCACTGAGACACCCGGGGCAGAGCTTGCAGCTCAAAGAAAAGAACGTTTGCTACCAGCCCCCAAGCCCAGGGACCGAAGCACAGGCGCGTTTAGGGTGTCAGATCTTGGAGTGAGGGTGAAAAGAGGCTGAAACTGGAGCAAGAGACACTGTCGCTTTTGCGGCTCACTGCAGCCTCCCCTCTCTCGGAAGCTTCCCCTTGCCTTGGTTGCTCCGGTTTGGGAGGTGGAGGGCTTCTTTTCCTTTTGTTAGATATTCCAAAAAAGAAAAAAATGACTAATACAAAGCTAAAGAAGAAGCAAGGAGACTGCTCGCTGGAGCGACGAGCAGCTGAGCTTGGGGTGGGGAAGGCGGAGAGCGAGAGAAGTAGCTTGGAATCATTATCTGTTGGTTAAAATCTGCCTGGGGTAAAATTTCAACTCGATTTTATAGCCTTCTATTATGACGCAAAGAAAAATTTACGAGCCTCGCTTGAAAAGAGGGCCAGGGCCTTTTCTCGCTGGTTTAAGAATAGGCGGCAGATGCGGTGACAGCGACCATTGTTCCCGGTAGACACAGGCGACCGGGCAACCTCGGCCCGCGTGCGCCAGGAGTGTCCCCAGCCCGGCGGGATTTTTTTTTTTTTTTTTTAAACTCCTGTTGTCTGGGGAGCAGGCTGCACGCACCCTCACCCCTCGCACACCCTCGCATCCTCATCCACACCCTCTCTCTCTCTCTCTTTCTCTCTCTCTCTCTCTCTCTCTCTCTCTCTCTCTCTCTCTCTCTCACACACACACACACACACACACACACACACAC